GACTGCCGAGCAGAGCTGCGTATAGCAGTACTGCGTACAGTGGCACTGCGCATCGTAGTACTGCGTGTTGTACTGTGCCCCCTCCGAGTGCGCCGCGCCCACAGGCGCTGGCGCGCGCTTACGTGTGCGGCCCAAAGTGGGTGAGGATCGGAGGCCTGGAAATGGGCACCTACACCCACACAGGGGGTTGCCTCCACAGGGGGAAGACGATCCTGTATTTCGGTGTTGGTGGTAATGTTTCGGCCACCTTGGAAGCCAGAATATTACCACAATCACCGAGATCGGGATCTTCTTTCCTCGATGGAGGCACACCGCCGATATTGGTGTTGGTGTCAACCTCTAGGCCTCCGAGAGGAGGGCGTCGTAGGCGATCGGCTCAGGGTCGAACTCTGTGCGCCTGGTGCGGGCGTCGGAGGGCCCGCCCGCACGCTCTCGTGCGTGGGCCTCCTCCGCGCGCTGGCCGCCAGTGCAGCCGACCGTCAGCTTCAGGAACCCGCCAGCCGCGTCAAACATCCCCCCCGACGACCAGAAACAGCCCCTCGAGAAGCGGCACCTCCTGGCGGCCGCGGCCGGCGCAGGGCCCGCCCGAGCCGCTCGGCTCGAGGGCGCGGTCCTCCTCCTCGAGCCGCCGCAGCGCCTCGACGGCGGCGAGCCGAGCCCGCCCCACCTCCTCCGGCGACTCGTCCTTCGGCCGGAACGTGGGCTGCTTCATGGTGCCTTTGTCTGCGCCCTTCCGTATCAGGTACTGAACACGCCACGCCTGTGTTGTTCTATCCCAGTCTATGTGCTGGGCGCCGCTCTGGCGCTCCGCGTTGTGCGTGCCCGAGCTGATAGGCGCGAGCGAGAGGTCCTCCTCCTGGAGCCCCCGCAGCGCCTCGACGGCGGCGAGCCGCGCCCGCTCCACCTCCTCTGGCGATTCGTCCTTCGGCCGGAACGTGGGCTGCTTGCTGCGACCTTGATCAGGGCGGTTCTGTATCTTATACTTAATGCGCCATACCTTTCTGTGTTTCTCCCAGACTATGTGCTTGACGCCGCTCTGGGGGCTGCCAGCGCGGACCTGCCCGAGCCTGTCCTCCTCCTCCAGCCGCCGCAGCGCCTCGACGGCGGCGAGCCGCGCCTGCTCCACCTCTTCTGGCGACTCGTCCTTCGGGCGGAACACGGGCTGCGTTTGGCGACCTTGATCCGGGCCGTTCTGGATCTGATATCTAATGCGCCATGCTGTCGTGCGTTTGTTCCAGTGTATGTGCTTGATGCCGCTCTGGCGCTCCGCACGGCTGGTGCTGCCAGCGCGGACCTGCCCGAGCCTGTCTTCCTCCTCCAGCCGCCGCAGCGCCTCGACGGCGGCGAGCCGCGCCTGCTCCACCTCCTCCGGCGACTCGTCCTTCGGGCGGAACACGGGCTGCGTTTGGCGACCTTGATCCGGGCCGTTCTGTATCCTATACTGAATGCGCCACGCTGTCATGCGTTTGTTCCAGTGTATGTGCTTGATGCCGCTCTTGCGCTCCGCACGGCTGGAGCTGCCGGCGCGGGCCTGCCCGAGCCTGTCCTCCTCCTCCAGCCGCCGCAGCGCCTGGACGGCGGCGAGCCGCGCCTGCTCCACCTCCTCCGAGTCGTCCTTCGGGCGGAACGCGGGCGTCTGTCTGCGACCTTGATCCGGGCCGTTCTGTATCTTATATCTAATGCGCCACGCTGTCGTGCGTTTGTCCCAGTGTATGTGCTTGATGCCACTCTGGCGCTCCGCACGGCTGGAGCTGCCAGCGCGGACCTGCCCGAGCCTGTCCTCCTCCTCCAGCCGCCGCAGCGCCTCGACGGCGGCGAGCCGCGCCTGCTCCACCTCTTCTGGCGAATCGTCCTTCGGGCGGAACGCGGGCTGCTTTCTGACACCCTGATCTGGGCCGCTTTGTATCTTATATCTAATGCGCCACGCCGTCGTGCGTTTGTCCCAGTGTATGTGCTTGATGCCGCTCTGGCGCTCCGCACGGCTGGTGCTGCCAGCGCGGACCTGCCCGAGCCTGTCCTCCTCCTCCAGCCGCCGCAGCGCCTCGACGGCGGCGAGCCGCGCCTGCTCCACCTCCTCCAGCGACTCGTCCTTCGGGCGGAAGGTGGGCTGCGTTTGGCGACCTTGATCTGGGCCGTTCTGTATTTTATACTGAATGCGCCACGCCGCCCTGCGCTTCTCCCAGACTATGTGCTGGACGCCGCTCTGGCGCTCCACAGGGCTGTAGCTGCCAGCGCGGACCTGCCCGAGCCTGTCCTCCTCCATGAGCCGCCGCAGCGCCTCGACAGCGGCAAGCCGCGCCTGCTCCACCTCCTCTGGCGACTCGTCCTTCGGGCGGAACACGGGCTGCGTTTGGCGACCTTGATCCGGGCCGTTCTGTATCCTATACTGAATGCGCCACGCTGTCATGCGTTTGTCCCAGTGCATGCGCTTGACGCCGCTCTGGCGCTCCGCGGGGCTGTAGCTGCCAGCGCGGACCTGCCCGAGCCTGTCCTCCTCCATGAGCCGCAGCAGCGCCTCGACAGCGGCAAGCCGCGCCTGCTCCACCTCCTCTGGCGACTCGTCCTTCGGGCGGAAGGTGGGCGTCTTTCTGCGACCTTGATCAGGGCCGTTCTGTATCTTATATCTAATGCGCCACGCCGCCCGGCGCTTCTCCCAGACGATGTGCTCGACGCCGCTCTGGCGCTCCGCGCTGCCGGCGCTCCCAGCTGCAGCAGCTGGCGCCCGGCGGCCGGGGCCGGCGGCCGTGGCCCGCAGCGGCGCCCCGCGCGCCGGGGCGGGCGCCGCGGCCGGCCCGGCGGAGGCCGCTGGGGCCACGAGGTGCCCGCACCACGTGGCCGCCAGGGCTGCGCCAAGCGCTGCCGGGCCCGCGCCGCGGCGGCCGCGGCGGCGGCAGGTCATGCTCGCCGCTCGGAGCGCGGCGGCTGGCCTCGCAGGCGGGCGGCGGCGCGGGCCGGCTGCCCGACCCAGGCCACAGAAAGCGCTCGAGCCTCTGGAGCCACAGTGGCTACGGAAGCGCTCCGTGCACGCTGGTGCTGCACTGGAAAAAGAAGGGCCTGCGGACCCCGTCGCGGACAGCGGCCAGCGGATCCAAGGTGGGGGCGCAATGTCCTCGAGCGGGCAACCACGAAACCGACGCTGTCTTTTGAACATATGGATTCGCCTAGTTTGTGGCTTATCTTGCGGGAATCCGCCAGCCTCTTTCCGACGAGGCACCGAAGGACAAGTTTACCTGAGTATCTGGGAAAAGAACCATCGGCCTGAAGCCCTTCCAGGGAAAAATCTTTTGGCAACAGGAAATACAAACGGCACTGGCACTTGACAGGGTGCTCGCTGAAGTGTGCCCCTGATCAACCAGCTTCTGTTTCCGAAGAGCAAAAACGAGGAGGATACATAATCATCCCGAGAGAGCAGGCCCCGACCGAGCAGCGGGAACGAGATTTCAAACGCCACCACGCCAGAATGCCGCAACACATTCACGCGCACCCTTGCATGCAATGCCTTGCGCAGCCTGCGTGCAAAATCATCACCTTCTTGTCGGAGACTCGGAACACGGTCGACCCACGGGTCTGGAAAGGATGTAGACATGTGACGCGTGAGTATGTTTTAAGACGCAAAACGTTGGCGATGGTCAACTGCAATTCTGAAAGTCCGCCGATCCGGCGTGTGAGTTTGAAAAACCCTCAGAACAGCCTGAGCCTCAATTCCTGTGCTTCAGCTCTGCTGGGGGGTGGGTGCTGGGGGGGCTCTGCCGGGGTAGGGGGAAGGGGAGGGGTCGATTTAATTCCCGGGGCGGAATCGGAGCTCCAGCTCACCCCGGGACGGCCCCCTGGCCCAGGGGGGCCCCAACATGGGCCAAGAGGGCCCCGAGTCGCCGAACGATCCCTAATACGCCCAAGATGTATTCAGGACGGCTCCAGAAGCCTCCAAAATGCCCTCATAAGCCCTGGGAAGGCCTCCCAAAGAAGGCCCAAAGAAGCCAAATATGTCCCTTCCCCCATGGGAAACGCGCAATTTTACCACATTCGCCCCTGGGCCTTCAGAGCGTCGCAGACGCCCCAAGAAAGCCCCTAAACGGCCCAAGAAACCGCCAAAATGGCTCCAAAACGGCCCAGGAAAGGCCCGAGATGGCCCAGGAGGGCCCCGGAAAAGGCCCAAGAGGGCCCCAGGACGGGCCCAACCAAGAGGTGCCTGAGAGGGCCAAGACGGCGGAAAAAGTGCCGAAAGCGGCCCAAGAAACCCCCAGCAGGCCCCAGGAGGCCCCCAAGAGGCCTGAAGAGGCCCTAAGACGCTTCCAACTGGCCCTGATGAGGCCCCCTGAACCCCCCTGAAGGCCCCCAAAAGTTTCAAAACATGCACCCAATATAGAAACCTCCAAACTGCCTCCAAGACTGCCCCCGAGAAGCCCAAAACCGACCCATTGCTTCCGCGGCGCTTACGTCTGAACACTAGCGCTGCAATGCAACAAATTCTTCCACGCTTTCACATATTCTCCCGTCTTCGGCGTTCTTCGTATCCATGTTCTCACAAGGGCCCGCAGAGAACCGCGCGAAGGCCCAAAAGACCCCAAAAACATCGCGGGTTCCAGCAGAAACCGGTGATGCACAAGGCTCCACAAAAAACTGCGACGCAGACAGCTCTAGCGCAAAGCTTTTCAAAGAATGCGCCATATCGGCAAGGTGTCAACCCAAACGGGGCCAACACCTGGCCGCAAAGAGGCTTTCCATCAACCGCCGAACACATCCAGCAACCGCCGAAAATCTCCTCATCCTCGTCATGCTCCTCCTTCTCCCCTTCCCCCTCTTCCACTTCCCGCTTCCTCCTGCTCCTACTCATCCTCAACATCCTACTATTTTGGCCCCCCCCCCCCTCCACCTCATATGATCCTCCTGCTCCTCCTCCTCCTCCTCCTCCTCCTCCTCCTCCTCCTCCTCCTCCTCCTCCTCCTCCTCATCATCATCATCATCATCCTACTCCGTTGCCTCCATTCCCTATCCTTATCATCTTCACCGCTCGCCGTCGTCGCTGGTCATGACCGCCATCGCGCGCCTCCGGCAGCAACGGAAACGTCCCGGATCGGCGGCACTGGCCGGAAACCACTACAATATCGGTAGTGAGGTACTGTGCCACAGGCAGTGCTGTGCTGTGGTGAACTGAACTGTGCCATGCCGCGTTGACATGTGACCTCTTGTGAGCTGTCCGAACGCACATGGGACGCACAGAGACACACTAATACTATATGTCCTCCTCGGAGGCGCGCGTCCGACCCGAACATGTAGTATACCCATATTGTAGTAGATCGTTTCCCGAGCGGTGTGGCCAGAAAGCGCCCGCCACGACGCATATACTATAAGATTTCTCGGTGCGCGCATGGGGGGCGACGTCCATATAGTAAAAGTATGTTGGGGTGACGCCGAGCACAGCTCAAACTGATTGCAGCCGAAAGGCGCAAGGCGCACGACCAGCTCGCGCCCAATATCCGATGCGGTGCCGAAGCCGGACGGACAAAGAGGGGGCGAACTCGAACGAACGCGAAACACACGGCGAAGGACAGACCGAACCGCCTCGAACTGAGACATGACGAACTGCACCAAGACGCACTGGAAAAACATGCGGCTCACGGGCGCGAGAGGAGACCGTGCAAAAGCACATGGCTGATGGCTGTGCCTCACGAGCGAAGGGGACCCATGTAAAACACATGAGTTTCGCCGACGGGCGAACAGAGCCCATGTAAAAATCCGCCGACCCTGTCGGCGTGTGGCAGAGGCTGTTCCGCTTGACTCGTCGTCGTCGTCGTCGTCGTCGTGGTCGTCGCGGTCGTCGTCGTCGTCGTCGTCGTCGTCGTCGTCGTCGTCGTCGTCGTCGTCGTCGTCGTCGTCGTCGTCACGGGCCCTCATCCTCGAGCGCGCCAGCCACATCGAAACTGAGCAACGTTGTGGTGGAGTCGAAGGGAAGCCCCTTCGGGGCCAGGGTTTTCCCAAACCAAACGGGTCTTCCCAAACCAAATGTTGCGGAATCAGACCGCCGGGTCTTCCCAAACCAAGCCCAGGTCTTCCCAAACCAAACGGGTCTTCCCAAACCAACGCCCCCGGGTCTTCCCAAACCAACCGGGTCTTCCCAAACCAACTCTCCGGGTCTTCCCAAACCAAGCGGGTCTTCCCAAACCAACATCCGGGTCTTCCCGATACAACCGGGTCTTCCCAAACCAACTCCCCGGGTCTTCCCAAACCAAACGGGTTTTCCCAAACCAACCGGGTCTTCCCAAACCAACCTTCGGGTCTTCCCGAACCAACCGGGTCTTCCCAAACCAACTCCCCGGATCTTCCCAAACCAACCGGGTCTTCCCAAACCAACCGGGTCACCAACTTCCGGGTCGTCCCAGACCAACCGGGTCTTCCCAAACCAATTCTCCGGGTCTTCCCAAACCAACCGGGTCTTCCCCAACCAACTCTCTGGGTTTTCCCAAACAAAACGGGTCTCTCCAAATTGGCCACGTCGACGGGGCAGCGACCGCAGCCCAAGCGTTTAAGGTTTAAGCATAAGTATCCCAGCGCGACCCTACTTAGGAGTTGGAGCCTGTAGGAAAGCAACACTAGTAGGAGCGGTAAACGCCGTCCTCCTCCTTCTCCTCATCGTCGGATTTGTAGTAGTAGCGGTATTAGTAGTAGTAGTAGTAGTAGTAGTAGTAGTAGTAGTAGTAGTAGTAGTAGTAGTAGTAGTAGTAGTAGTAGTAGTAGCAGTAGTGGTAGTAGTAGTGGTGGTGGTAGTAGTAGTAGTAGTACTAGTAGTAGTAGTAGTAGCGTAGTAGTAGTAGTAGTAGTAGTAGTAGTAGTAGTAGTAGTAGTAGTAGTAGTAGTAGTAGTAGTAGTAGTAGTAGTAGTAGTAGTCGTAGTCGTAGTAGTGTAGTAGTAGTAGTAGTAGTGGTAGTAGTAGTAGTCGTATCAGTGATAGTCGTAGTAGTCGTAGTAGTCGTAGTAGTAGTAGTAGTCGTCGTCGTCGTCGTCGTCGTCGTCGTCGTCGTCGTCGTCGTCGTCGTCGTCGTCGTCGTCGTCGTCGTCGTAGTAGTAATCGTCGTAATTTTAATCGTCGTAGTAGTCGTCGTCGTAGTAGTTTAGCACTAGTAGTAGCAATAGAAGTAGTAGTCGTAGCAGTTAGTTAGTAGTAGTAGTAGTAGTAGTAATAGTAGTAGCAGCAGTAGTAGTAGCAGCAGCAGCAGCAGCAGCAGCAGTAGTAGTAGTAGTAGTAGTAGTAGTAGTAGTAGTCGTAGTAGTAGTAGTCGTAGTAGTAGTAGTAGTAGTAGTAGTAGTAGTAGTAGTAGTAGTAGTAGTAGTAGTAGTAGTAGTAGTAGTAGTAGTAGTAGTAGTAGTAGTAGTAATGGTAGCAGTAGTAGTAGTAGTAGTCGTAGTAGTAGTAGTAGTAGTAGTAGTAGTAGTAGTAGTAGTAGTAGTGGTAGTAGTAGTAGTGGTAGTAGTATAGTAGTAGTAGTAGTAGTAGTAGTAGTA